TGTACTAGGCTGTTTATCACAGCCCAATTTACAATCACTAAAATGTGGAAACAGCCTAAATGTTCTTCAACCCAGGAATGATTGGTAAGCTGTGGTATATGTACACTATGGAGTATTATTCAGCCATCAAAAAAATGAAGATTTTACAGCATTTGTACTAACCTGGATGGAGGTGGAACATATTATTCTTAGTGAAGCATCACAGGAATGGAGAAGTAAGAATCCTATGTATTCTACTTTGATATGAAGACAATTAATGACACGGTGGGGCATGGGGGAAGGGGAGATCAGACTGAGAAGGAGCGAGGGGGTATGGGCAAAAAAAAAAAAATATATATATATATATATATATAATGTCTACGCACACAAACTGGATTCAATTTTGATTAACGTATATTGCTTAAACATCAATTTTTAATCCAATATGTTGTTTATCATATTGCATCCTTATTCATCAGTGAAATGTCTGTAATTTCCCCTTTATAATAACATAGTAATATATTTTTTCTAATTTTGGCTTCCTTTTTTAAGGTGAAAAATATCTCTATAAGAGGCCCAAAATTCTATACCTTTCTATTCTTAAAGGTTATCCTGACCATACACCCACTGGAAATTCCTCCTCTCCATGGACCCCCAATTCCTGCCATCTCTTTAGTCTGCTTCCAAGAAGCCCATGCCTGATTCTGATGTTTTATTCATTTATTAGCAAAGCAGTTTGCTCCCCATAACATATACTACCTACTTAAGGCCTAAGTCAATGTCCGCATATTTCAAAATGCATCAAGGACCATGTTAAGCAAAAGGTCTTTAAGGAGCACAAAGAATGACAGAAGAGTCCAAAATAACCTTCTCTTTAACATAATCAAAGGATGCAGCCAGGCTCCCATGCCACCGGCTTATGACTCCCGTAGCCCACCGGAGGAAGGCGCGGTAGCCTGCCTTCTTCCCACTCGACATCAATCATGCTGCCTCCCCCAGAAAATGAAGCGGTCAGGGCTGCCTTTCGCTTCCACAGCAAACCTATCTTATCACTCACTGAGTGTTTAACAAACTCCCCAAGTGGCAGGGCCAGCCAGTCTGCATTTGGAAACCACTGTTCACGGTGAGTGCTAGAGTTACTTAAAGCTTTAAAACTCTGTCTCTCTGAAAACACATTTGCTTCTGCACCAAGGGGTGAGATGGACTTTGCAATAAGCCAAACCGGGACTCAAACCCCTCCACTCACCGGGTGACCTTGGGCAAGTTACGTGCTACTTATAGTCTCTGAGTTTTGGTTTCTGTATTTGCAAAGAGGAAAGAAAACACTGCCAAGTTCACAGATTGTACTAGGAATGCAAGCGAAAGTAATTGTCAATAAATGTTAATTTTCTTCATCCTGACATATGGCAGGAAGCCTTAGACAAGTTTGGGGAGTCTGACAAAGTGCACATGGGCTGGATCTTCTCTAAGCAAATACCTTTCCTCATGGGCTTTGTGAAGTCACTCAGATGCCTGGAACCTTCACTAAGGATCCTCCTTGAGGAGGACCAGACACTCCACCCCCTCTATGGGCAACACGAAAGCGCAGCCTGCTCCTTTGAGTGGCCTGCACTGGTGGGTGCTGACATGGCCGCAGTTAACATCCAGTGTCAGGATAGAACCAGCTTAACCCCACCTGGACATGAGGCTGGAGTGCAGCAATGGTGCCGCCCTGGGTAACCTTCAGGCACCAAATGAGGTTACTCTAAACTCACAACGAAACACAAAGTGAGCAGCCAGTCACTTTGTCCTTTGTGAATGGGAGGATTCTCCTGGGCACGCCCTTTTCACACTACTCTGGATCACATTTCTGGGCACACTGGGAGCTCTCCAAGGGGGCAGAACAGCGTCTTTTAGCTCTCAGAGTGCCAGGCCCACACCAGACTGACATTTTTGATAAATAAGTGAATGCATTAATTAATGGATGGATGAACCAGAGGGGTTCAGACTATGTAAACCGGCTGCCCGAGTGATTATTTTGCATAATGTGCTTTCAGAATTCCCTGAAATCACAAGCCTTTATTTCAAAACCTAATTCTAAATAGCAGAAACAATGTTGCCCAGTGCAAAAGCGACTCAATCAAAACTGTCAAAGGCAACGATGCATTAAACTAATCCATTCAATCCCTCATTCATTCAACAAACACTTACTAAATCTTCATTACAGACCAGGCACCATGCCAAGTGCTGGAGACAAAGGGAAGAAGATGTGGTCCCTGGAGGGGCTGGGCATCAATCGATATTTTCAAAGCTTCTTCTGTGCTTCCAGTGTGCAGCGGGGGTCAAGAAGGCTGTGTGGGAGGACCCCCTGCTTGCTGCACGGAGCCCACAGGGTGACAGAGGACATGCGCCACACCCGTTCTGGGGACACCTGATCATTCTCTCCTAATCAGTCGAAATCTCAGCTTGAACTATTTATTGTTTTTTCAACCATAAAACAGTATTCTTGTTCCATACGGTTCAACAAAAAAAACTTAAAAAGTAAAAAAACAGGCTGTGCATGGTGGTTCACGCCTGCAATCCCAGCACTCTGGGAGGCCCAGGCCGGTAGATTGCCTGAGCTCACAGGTTGGAGACCAGCCTGAGCAACAGTGAGACCTTGTCTCTAAAAATAGCCGGGCATTGTGGTAGGCACCTGTAGCTACTGGGGAAGCTAAGGCAAGAGAATCACTTGAGCCCCAGAGAAGGATGCTGTGAGCTATGACACCACAGCACTCTACTGAGGGTGAGAGAGATTCTCTCTCAAAGACAAAAAAAAAGTAAAAATAATAATAATAAGAGTAACTGTTTTAGTTATTTCCACAAACAAAACCAGAAAAAATATATATTTCTTTTCCACTAAAAACTCATCAATCTATATTTATTACATGTGTATTATGTTTAGGACAACTTAGAAATCTAAAGTAATAAAGAGTCCCTACCTTTTATCTAAACTTTAGCTATAGTCCCAGCTACTCAGCAGACTGAGGCATGAGGATCACTTCAGCCAAGAAATGGAGGTTGCTGGGAGCTACGATGCCATGGCACTCTATCCAGGTGACAGAGACTCTTTGTCAATAAAACAAACAACTTTAGTCCTAAAATGAGATTTTGTCCTATGAGTAAATGGTTCTCAGGAGAAAAAAAGGTGCTCCGTTTTCTCTGTGTTGTCCTTTTGTGGTGAACAAAGCCTCACAACAGAAGAAAGGACTCCAAGTGGCCTGGCACCAACTCTGACACGGAGCACCCATGAGCCCAGGTCCCAGGCAATCACCATAGGGCCGACAGCCTCAACCTGCCCAGGACTGAGGGGCTGGGAAGTCCCTGGAAAACTGGGACAGCTGGTTACCTCAGCAGTCGCCTCTCCTCTTATGACCAGAGTTCCTCTCTCAGCAATGGAGATACTTAAATACAATGACATAAATGGCACTGTGAGTTCAAAGACTCACTGTAACACAGATCGCTCCCCAGGCTTCATGCCAGTGGTTATATTACCATTTCTACTACTGTGCAAGATTGTGCACAGTTCTTGGTTTCACCCCGCAAAGTCTTCCTGTTGAAGACAGACTCAGATTTTCATCATCTACATCCTCTCCCCCTACCATCCATTTGATATTCTTCCTGGGACAGCAAAGTAGGGCTGCTCCAAGACTTCCTGGTTAAATATGAGTGGCCCCTACATGGTATTACGTAACTTCCCTTAGCCCATGTTAGGACTACAGCTCAGGTCCTCCCCAGCACCAGGACTGTTCAAATGCATCAGAGAGGGACAAGTACATCACGTTCGTATTTCATAGTCCTGACAGAAGCAGCATCAGGACGCCGTGTGGAAAGATTCACAGCTGATGGCTTTCCTGGATTCAAACCTCCACTCTACCTGTAACTCTGTGACCTTAAGGCAGTTACCAAATTCCCTCTGACCCTCAGTTCCCTCATTTGTAAAATGGGGGTGCATCTGCCCTTCAGCCTTGGGAATAAAAACTGAAATCATGCCAACACGCAGGCATGCCAACACTGAGCAGGCTACGGTGCGCAGATTTCAGGTAAATGAAACCTTAAGTGTGTGCACATTTGTTAAGACACACAAACACACACACTTCTGAACATCAAGACTCCGTTGGCACACACACAAAAATTGTTCCCATCACAAATGTTTTCCTTCTAGAAACATATTATTTATTCAGTAAGAAACTTTTTTACCATCCGAATCAAATAAACTTTCTCCTCCCAAGCCATTTAATCGAGGGCACACCACTGCAGCACGTTTTATCATCATCATTTTCAACACTCAATCCCATGTTTTCTTCTCTCACGTAGAAGTCCCCGAAAGGAGCCACAGCTCTGTTTCATTCATAACCCAGATGGAAAACTGTCTTTCAATTTCTGCTTTCCAATGTTATGATTCAATGAAAACAAAGCTAATCAGCCACGAAAACAGAAAGATGAAAATCAGCCCCAGTGTATGTCACGGCCATGATCATCAACACCTCCACGAAATGAGGGGAGAAAAGAGAGAAACATCTTAAAACTTCTACTAATATATAACTTTAAATTACTTTCAAAAAAATTATTTCTTTAAAAGGCATCCTGTTGCCTTTCATGGTGTCAACATGAGGTGTCTTCTCAGGGCCATTCCTGGGCAAGCAGATGGCACATGGGAAATGGGAAATGTTTGGAAAACAGTAGCCTCTTAGGCTCCCGGTGCACGTGTACAGGAGACTTTCTGATTTCCAATCTTGGCTCAGAGTTCAGAAAAAGGTGGGTGGGGAAGGGGGGCGCATACATTCCTGAAAAAAAAAATTGCTGCCTATTTGAGGGCACGCCTGACTTTCAGTCCATTCAAGTGTTCACGGTTAGTCCTCAAGGCTCATGGAGTATTCAGTGCTCTGAAAACCTTCCTCCACGATCCTTCTCTTGCACAATCATCATCTTCTACTTTGTTGTTGTTGTTGTTGGTGGTGGTGGTGGTTTATTTATTTTTGGTTTTGCTGACTCTGCCAGGACTCAAATCTAGAAAGCCACAGTCCTTTGAGTGTAGTTATTGTGTCTGGAAACCAGTTATGTCACAAGTCCAAGGGCCCATGGCTTCCCAAGGGAACAGCCACATCTGGGTAAGTCCTGAATAACAAGCCTTTTTAGCAATCGCCTCCTAAGTTCCGGAGCTGATGCCTGCGTCCCAGCATCCAGGGGCTGGAATCATGCCAGAAAAGCAAGGAGCCCGTAGGCCGGAGCAGACCGTCTCTGCAGCTCCCGCACATCCTCCACCCCACTTGAATGTCCTGTAAAATATTCAAACAAATAAACTGGACGTGGCCGATTTATCTGTACAAAAAGGCTTTACAAAAATACTTCCCTGCATTTTAAAAAAAGAAAAAAAATGCATGTAAACATCGCCTCCACATCCCTGGAGCATCCGTGAGCCCTTCCATCTCATCTCTCACATGTTTTTCGGCTCTACCTCTTCTCGGAGGTATCAATCTGCTTTCTTCTTCTTAACAGAGTTCAGAGTCTGAGGCCACCTTTGAGCATGAGCTTGTGGTTTGATTGGCAGAAATAGTATTATCAGGAGACTTATGATGTGCAAATAAAAGTACATGGACCTAGGAATAAAAACATAAAAATTATATTTCAAACAAGGATACAGCTGAGAAATGTCACCTGATCACGTCACCTTCGGTATGGTGAGCGTAGTGTGTGTGGCAGGATCCACTCTCTAGGTAACTCTCTTTGGTGGGTAAACAGGTGAGGAATGGACTGAAAACGCACAGCTGGGCAGAGCAAGCCACCAGCACATCTCTGTCTAGACATGGCATCTTCCCACGGACAATACAATACACAGACCAAGAGCATTAACCCCACAACAGCCAAAAACCCCATATTCAAAGCCTGAGGACTCACAAGGACAAATTCAAGCTTCACAGTCATGTGCTATAGAATAACAGTCCAGTCAACAACGGACCACACAGGACAGTGGTCCCATTAGATTATAATGGAACTGAAAAGCTCCTGTCACCAGAGAGCCATTATGATGTGCTAGTGCAACGTGTTACTGATGTGTGTGTGGTGGTGCTGGTGTAAACAAACCCACTACGCTGCCAGTCGCACAGAAGTGCCGCACACACAAATTACATACAGTGCACAACCCAGCAACTAGGTCACTGGCTTATTTACTTACTCAGGGCTGAGTTTGAACCCACCCCCTCTGGTATATGGGGCCGGCGCCCTACTCCTTTGAGCCACAGGTGCCGCCCACTCTATTATGTTTTATTATCATTTTAGAGAGCATTCCATATATGTATATATGTGTATATATATATAACATTAACTGTATTAACTGTGACATTCCATATATATGTATATGTGTGTATATATGTAAATAAACTGTAGTAACTGTAACATTAGTTAATGTATATGTATCTTATATATATAAACATTAACTGTAAAACAGCCTCAGGCAGGCCCTTCAGGAGGTGTCAGAGGAGAGGGCCTTGGGATCACAGGAGATGACAACTTCGTGTGTGTTACTGCCCCGACCACCTTCCAGGAGGACAAGCTGGAGCAGTGGGCAATGGTAGTACTGATGATCCTCACCAGTGTAGGCTGTGTGTCTTTTGGTCTCAGTCTTTACCAAAATGGGAAAGAATAAAAGTAAAACCTTTTAAGAAAGGAAAAAAGCTTATAGAAAAAGGACATTAAAAAAGTATTTTTGCACATCTGTACAGCGTGTCATTTTAAAGCTGTTATTACAAAAAACTCAAAGTTTAGAAAAAAGTAAAAAAAAAAGTTACAGTAAGTAGTTATGGTTAATTTTATTATTGAAGAAAAAAAACTTTATAAACTTTTTTATGCTATCTAATTAAAAACATTTTCCATATATGAGATACATGAGAATTTGCTTTTCCAAATGATTTCCTAAGAAGGGTTCTTAGGAACCCTTTCATCATAAAGCTTAAACTCGTAGCCCAAGTGCACAGTGTTCATGAAGTCTACAGCAGTCACAATGACGTCCCAGGCCCTCGAGTTCCATCACCAACTCACCCCGAGCAACCTCAGTCCTGTCAGCTCCATCCATGGTAAGTTTTATACCATATTTTCACTGCACCTTTTCTATGTTTAGATACACAAATCCTGTGTGTGACAATCACCTTCAACATTCAGTGCAGCAAGCAGGATGCTGCACAGACTTGCAACCTGGGAGCAAAAGGTCACACCGTTTAAGCCTAGGAGTACTGTGGGCTACCCCACCTAAGTCTGTCCCAGTGCACTCCGTGACGTTCCAGCAATGACAAAACTACCTAACGGCACATTTCTCAGAATGTGTCCTTGTCATTGAGCAATACATGACTGCGTTCTGGTCCCCAAACACAATGCAACTAAAACGAGCCCATATGCTCTCCTCAGGTATGACAAGTTCTTCTTACGTGTCTTATGAGTCAGATGCATCCTGATTTTGAGAAGCTAGTCCAGTATCTTGTACGCTCAATGAATCCCCAACAATTAAAAAAAAAAAAAAAAAAAAAAAAGCTAGTCCATAACCCTGCAGATTACGGTCAGCTAAACTAATGAGAAACACATTTTGCTTTTGGAGTTTTGACCTTCTGTTGCCAAAGCCTGGTCTTCAGCACAGTGTGCAGAGTGCGGGTATGTAGCACTGCACTTATCATCCAATGCAAGTGATCACAAACAGCTCACATTAGCACAACTATTCTAGATCCGTTTGGAAAGGTTAAGCTCGCACTTTCTCCAGTGCTTTTTGCAGATTAAAGGAAAATGTTAAGCGAGAATCATTCCCCAGCTTCTGTGATCTGAGATCAGACACATTAGAATCAGGTAACTCACAGACACCCTAAGTTTCTCCACCTTTTCACAAAAGGAACGCTTCTTGACAATGTCTGTTGAACAGTCAAGAGCTCTAAGAGAAGCAAACATATCATCGTGCATTTATTCTTTCAATAAACATTTACATTAAACTAAGATCTACGAAAAGGTATAAGCTTCTGCCCTTTCCCTTGGGGGAATGGAAACAAGTCCATGATTAATGGTTGTTTAACCAGCTGAGGGGCGAACAACCACAGCAAGTGACCATATAATTTACCATCTCACCAAGACATTACTGCTGGTGAGAAAGGGCTAGATAAACACACGGGGATAACAGGCATAAACTGGAATACTCACAGGCACACGCCCTGGTCATAGGTATTACAAAGCAAGCTTTCAAAGTCTGCGTGCCAAAAATACACCTTGTTTTTGAGCTTTGCCTTCATCTTCCTTATGTGGCCAAATCTACACTGGAGCAGTTGTGTTAGATTAAATGCAAATACTTTGAAAGTCAAAGGAATAAAAGTGTCAACCCCCAGTGAGATTTAGTAACCTCTTCTGACATTTTGTTTCTTTAACATTTTAGGAATATTTCATCCTTCCGTTATGAAAAAACTCAACTCAATCAACATTTATTGAGCATGCGAGGCCCTGACCTGGGTCCTCCAGACACAGAGATGGGTAAGGCACAGTCCCTGCTTTCAAGGAATTCACTATCTATAACAAGTTTCTACACAAACGCTAATGTTCTTTCACACTGAATTTGTGAAAGTGCTAGCTAATTAAAAACATGAGATACATGAGAATTTGCTTTTCCAAATGATTTTATAAGAAGGGTTCTTTCATAATATATTTCAGTGTTCCTTTGGGGCTCATTTACAAGCTAAAGAAAAAAATTAGACTGAGGACTTTAAGCCTGAGCTCTGAAGCCGCTCTAGATCAAACACTGATGAGGCCTAAGGACAAAGCACAACAGAAATTCCCACGTTAAGCAGTGAGGATGTGCTGGGAAGTCGGTGTGCACGCACTGCCACTCACTGCCAGTTACTGAAGTGAGGAACAGATCTGGAACGCAACTGGCCTCACCTTCCCTAAAACGCTGTGCAATTTTAATTTCTTTCACCAGATTCAGGGATTTTTCTTATAAGATTCTGAAAGCACCTTCTGAGGTGACATCAATCTGTAAGAGTCACAGGCAACATGGGGGTATTAAAATTCAAGTTAATTGCCTAATCTATCAATAAAGAAATTAAAAGTAAAAAATAAAATAAAATTCAAGTTAATGCCAGGTGTGGTGGCTCACGCCTGTAATCCCAGCACTCTGGGAGGCTGAGGAGGGCAGATCACCTGAGCACACAGGTTCGAGACCAACCTGAGCAAGTACGAGACCCTGTCTCCAAAAAATAGCAGCCGGGGGGTGGGGTGGGGGGTGTTGTGGTGGGCGCCTGTAGTCCCAGCTACTCCGGAGGCTGAGACAAGAGAATCGTCTGCGCCCAAGAGTTTGAGGTTGCTATGAGCTATGATGCCACAGCACTCTGCCAAGGGCAACATGGTGAGACTCTGTCTCAAACTGAATGAATAAATAAATAAATAATAAAACTCAGTTCCTCCATCTTACTAGCTACATTTCAAATGCCTAACAGCCACGCATGTCCTGGGTGGCTGGGGTTCAGGGAGGCATGGACAGAACATTTCTATCATTGTAGAAGCTTCTATTGGACAGGGCAGCTAGATAAATATTTAAATCATATACTAGACCAGCTAACAAGATAAAATATTAGTTTAACTCACCTGAAATGGGCCAAAGTGGCAAGAATGTCAATTTTCTGTTTCATTCTAAACATTTTTAAGAAGTATTCTAGATTATTTTTAAAAAGAAGTGAAAAGCTACTTGATGATTTGACTCTGCCCCCTTGAGTCCCCCTCTAACCCTAGAGATTGGCATCCTTTAGTTGGTTAAATGCATGTTATCAGATTTAACTCTGAGGCTCAGCCCTAGCATTTAGTTGCTGTGTGAGTTTTGTTAAATTCCCTACCCTCTCAGAGCCCCCACTTTCTCATGTGATAACCAGAGATACGGATACCCACCCCTCTCCCCTCAGCTCAGCACTCTCTCCCTTGGGTTCTGTCTTCTGCCCACATTCACATTTCTCTAGTTCTCCGTGTGCAGAGCTTCCTCCTGGTATACCACACAGGCTTTTCTACGCTTTTCTGAGCCAAGAGCACTGCCCACAGTGCCCAGCCTCGCCCACTACACATACACGGTGCTGGCTCCACTCCCACTGCACAGCCTCCAGGACTGAGCTGGAATGCCACTTCCTCCCAAAAGACGCCCCTGCACACTAGGCTAAGTCAGATTCCTGTTATATGCTATGCTCTCATGAAGCCCTGTACCGGAGTACCATCTCAGCGTGTATTTATACATTTCTCAATTATTGCCTACCTCCCGCCCCATCAAGCTATCCCCTCCGTGGGAGCAGGTCTGAGCTTGCCATTCCATCCCCAGCTCCCAGCACAGTGCCCAGCACCCTGACGACACTGAGCTGAGTAAAGGCCTTTCTGCTATAACAGCAATATCCTGAGCTTAGAAATACCAGGGCTGGTGGGGTTTGGAAAGCAGGATAGAAGCAGACAACTCCAAACCTAGGAGACTTTGTAGCCAGAGCACTAACCAACACAAATTAGCACTCAGGGCAACAACAGAGACAGCTCGGGCAGACAGTTCAGTGGGACAGGAGGCTGCTTGGGGGTGGGGGGTGAGTAGAAAGACAAAAAGCAAAAGAGAGAGGTCAGATGTGGGCTGTGGGCTCTGACACAGCAGGAACAAAAGTAGTGCGAGGAGGTCGTGGGACTGCCCTCGGGTGGGCACAGGGGGAACAACCCTGTGAGAGCCACAATGCCACCTGGGGACGCCTCTCTCTAGGGGGGAGCCAGTGAAGGCGTGCTCAATTCCATCTTCTCCATACAGGACTCCTACAACTGTAGCAGCTGGACTGAGGGCTTGCTTTGGGTGGGGGTGGGGGCTGGAGGTGTTGTGTTTTATTTTGTTTTGTTTTTTTCTGGCCAGAAATCAGAATTCTCTTCCCAGTCTTCCAGTGCCCCTCACCTAGAAAAATTTGTGTAAAAACCAGTACAACTTCCATGTTCTATCAGCATAACTTCTTATAGCCTCCCTGTGGCACTAGCTAGTATTTTGCACGAGTGTCTCCCACCCCTTCCCGACCATTCCATCAACTACAGAGGATCCCCACTTATAAATCAGGTGTGTCTGTGCTATGTCCACGTCACTGTTTTAAATCCGAGCACATTCCAGGGTTAACGAGAGAAGCCTGTACAGCCCCTGAAGTAACCCAAGTCAGCACTCACTGAGCACAGACCACATGCCAGATTCCGATCTGGGCCCTCTGCTGGTTTGCATGTCAGCTCCAATATTCAATCCCGACGACAGTGCTGTGGGGTGGAGTCTATTCTCAGCTCCACTTTACAGTTGAGAAAACACAGGGGTCACACAACCACTTCACAATAGTGGAGAAACTCAACCAACTAAACACACAGGTGAAATAACAAGAGTAAACTGCAGGTTTGCAGTTGATTTGGAGCATGAGTGGTCTCCAGTGTGTGCCTCCCCCTCCTCCCTAAATTCCCCCCACCATGGGCAACCAGCAGCATAACCTACATACACCTGCTGAATGGCCATCTCCAAGCACAGAGGAACCCTCCCCAGACTACACTGGGGCCAATCCCTGCACCAGCAGTGCTGCAGCTCCTGGCCATCTTGGTCCTACTCTCAGAACGCCCCACAGTCTCCAGCATGGTTTCCCCCCCCCCCCGCCAGGAAAAGGAGCCACGGGGAGCAAATGCACCCTCTGAATTCTCAATCCAACCCATCCCTTCAAAGTACACTGATATAAATGTCCCTGTTTACATTATGAATGGCTTAAGAGATTCTCGTCCACTTAGCTCTTATGTATTTGAACACTGCCTCTAGGATAGCTGTTTCTTCTTCTTTTTTTTTGAAACAGAGTCTCAAACTGTCACCCTGGGTAGAGTGCTATGATGCCAGCACTCATAGCAACCTCCAACCCCTTGGTTTAACAATTCTCTTGCCTCAGCCTCCCAAGTAACTGGGACTTACAGGTACCTGCCACAATGCCCAGCTATTTTTTGGTTGTAGTTGTCATTGTTGTTTGGCAGGCCCAGGCTGAATTCAAACCCACCAACTCTGGTGTATGTGGCCGGCGCCTTAGCCACTTGAGCTACAGGTGCCACCGAGGCTAGCTTTTTCTTCTTAATGCTTCTGTGGATGTTTTCCTTTTCCTTTCTTTTTTTTTTTTTAAAGATAAGGTCTCACTCTCACTCTGTTGCTCAGGCTAGAGTGCAATGTAACAATCACATATCTCACTGTACCTTTGACCTCCTGGGTTCAAGTGATCCTCCTGTCTCAGCCTCTCGAGTAGCTAGGACTACAGGTATGGACTATCATGCCTGGTTAATGTTTTCACTGTTTTGTGGAGATGGGGGGGGGGGCGTTCCCTACCTTGCCCAGGTTGGTCTCAAGTAATTCTCCCGCCCAAGTTTCCCAAAACACTGGTATTATAGGCATGAGCTGCCCAGCTGCTATGGACATTTTCACATTGACGCCCCAATAGAAATCCTTAGGACTGCTTGCTTCAGTGTGTGCCCCCTACCCCAAGACAGCTTAGTAGATGGCAACTGAGAACAATGCAGACTTACTTGTATAAACTGATGGTTGGTTCCACTGCCAACATAACAAAGGGCGCGACCGTGTAAGACACAGCCAGCTGAGTGGCAGCCCAGGTGACCACATCGTAAGCGACCTTGACAACTTTTGAAGAAAGGAAGTAATGCCTGTAGTTGTTTCTCACCTTCAAGCCCAGAAGGCACAAATGGGGAAGAGGGGGTGAAAAACAAAACAACTGTTACTCCATGCACACAGGTGAGCCCAGCAACACAGCCTGCAGAAAACCACCACCACCTAGTGCTATTTTCAACTAAAAGACCATTGTGGCTCTTCTTACTTGAAAAAAAAGAAAAAACGTTCACAGTAGAAGAACATTCAAACTACACAAAAGGAAAAAGAACTTTGTTTTCTTTTTTAACATCTCCTAAAGAAAAGTATCATTGAAGAACTTGGTCCAGAGCCTTGTAAGCCTCTTCCGTTCGTATAGATCCACATTTATATTCTTAATGGCACCAATATATTTCCAGCCTTTCTCATTTAGTTATACATCATCAACTTTCTCCATGTCAGTGAATATTAATCTCCAATATAATTTTTAAGTTAATTATGCAAAATTTAGCTTCTCTCCCCATCTCCTGTTTTGCTATTATAAATAATTCTGTGATGCACACCCTTGTAATAATTTACGTCCTATTTCCTAGTTGTTTCCTTTGGGTACTGATGATACAGATAATATTCCTATTAGTACTGACAATAGCCGCTACCATTTATCGAGTTCTTACTAAGTGCCAAGCCTGTGTTCATGGATCATCTCTGTTGATTTCCCCAATAAGCTTATTCTGTAGGCATCATTATTCTCATTTTACAGGTACGGAAACTAAGACTTAGGTAAAGAGACAGTTCTTTGAAATGGAAAATCAAGGGGTATACTGCTTTGTAGATCTTTTGACACATGTAACTAGACTTGCCTATAGAAAGACACCTGATTTCCAGGTGCCAGAATCAAAGGCAGAGCTGGAACAGGCAGGTCATCCCCAAACCACGAAGGCGTTCAATGGCCGAGGCTGCCCAGCAAGCTAAAAAATCCATCTCCTACCTAACTTGTGAAAAATGTTTCCAGATCATTCAAAAAAAAAAAGGCTCTACAGAAATGAAAGCCTTTATGCCAGTTAAGGTCATAGAACTAAAGACATTTTAAGGAATACTATTCTGGATATGTAACAAACAAAATTCTGACCTTTATTTCTTAGTTTGTCCTGGCCATCTGTTCTGTGCTTTCCTTTTATAATCTGAGTAGGTATATGAATGGGAGAAAAGAAAATACCTTTCCTGTTTTCTCTGTACAAATACACTCGATATGCACTTAATTTTAAAAGTGTATTGCTGGTATGAATAGCAATCAGTCATCTACCTTGTGCACATGTATATTCCAACACACCTTTGTCTAACTAAAACAGAAACTCCTCAGGGAGGAGCACTTGTTTGCTCACTGTGGTAGCCTAGCACCTAGAACCCTGGCACTCAGCAGCGTTCCTAAAATAATCACGGAATAAATGAATTAAAGGATAAGTGAACAGCCACGATGGGGCTGCTGAATTCACATCCAAAACGCAGTTCAACAAACATCACTCAAAGCTCGTGGCATCTGAAATAAGGAAGGCCACAAACATTATCAAAGATTGGGACTAAATCAAATACAAACCTCCACTATTTAACAATGAAAGCATTTTGAATTGCAATTACATCTATACACATACACCTTCTTCTTTGGGGACAGTCTTATTTTTTATTCTTTTATTATCTTGCTCTACAACAAGCAAACAGCAGGAACAATCGAGGACAAACTAATGATTCCTCAAAACACCTAGAGAACCAAATTTATAAAATTCATAAAGAATTTCACAGAAATCAATTAAGAGAGCTGAATCAGGCATGAGAACATAAGAAGTTAGACAAATTCCTAGCAGACACATCTCTTCTGGCTGCTGTCTCACTGACTGCTCACAGACATTGTGAATTATTTCTAGGCTGAAGGCAATGAAATGAGGAATTCAGGGGAACATAAGCAAAGTGAAGGCCGGTGGAGCCCACATTAATTAATAGCCATCATCATCCATAATTAGTATATGGTGTATGTTCATAGCCTTTAATGATTAAAAACATTTTCACCTCCTAAGGTACTCAATATTGCTCCTAAAATTCCTTTGGTTTTACAAGCACCCTCTGTAAATAACATGAAAATAAAATGGTTGACCATTTTTTGTAATGACCACAAGTTCCTCTATACTGAAGTGTTTCTCTAATGGGAAGCCTTCTGCATGCTGTTTGATTTTTCAGAATATCACTCCCACCTTCCATCTCTGCTCCTAACTCTGCTAGGATTCTAAAGATGACAAACACACAAGCATCAGATTCTTAAGGGAAAGACCCCACATCCAAGGAAGCTTACCGCTCTAGCTGCTAAGGTGACCAGGGTTCCAGTTAAGAAGGTAAAATAGTATCCAGGGTAGACGCCGTGCCACAAAGCAGACAGGATGAAGGTTAGCACCGTGGGGTACCATGGAACCCGCTCATAGCACACGCTATAAAAAGAGGAAAGAACAACCAGTAAAACGTACCAGAAACTTCTGGGCACAGCTGCTCATTTTGGGATCGGACAACACAGAAATCATTCGATCCATTTACTGATGTGATGACTGCCTGACCCTGTGCAGGGATGCAGTGTGAGCCAGGGCCTGAGCGGCTCTGGTTTCTGTGACCCCTGACCCTGTGCAGGGATGCAGTGTGAGCCAAGCAGTCTGAGAGGCTCTGGTTTCCGTGACCCCTGACCCTGTGCAGGGATGCAGTGTG